TTGACAAATCACCGAAGGGACTAAATTCAAGCCCTACTACCCTCACGAAAATGGTTGTTTATCTTTTTTGTTTAAAGGAAACCATCAAGGAAGGGTGGTGTTTAGGCATAAATACCGATCTATTTATTAAAATTTTTTTAAAGAGTACACGATAGAGAATTTATACCTCTTAATTTAGAGTAACTAAAAATTTGACAAACTTTTAAATGAAATTAACACACTCCACATTTATCATACTTGAAATTTTGTCGTGTTTGTATTGTTTTGCCAGTTTTTGAATAGTCATTTCGTTTCTTGGCCTCCTTTGAAATTATTGGGATGAACTAATCGTCATTAATATCTTTATTTGTGCCACTATCTTCTTCATTATTATCATCATTGAAATAGTTGTTAATCTATTGTCAATTTTTCAAAATAATTGTTAATCTATTGGAGCTTTCTATGCTGCCATGACATGCCATCCACCAATACCTTTTACTGCACCAAAAACAAGAAAAGAACTTTTATGGTTAGGATTTGCAACACCAAATAATTAATCAGGATGAACATGATTCAGTAATGGAGTACAAAATAGTCCATCTCTAGCTATATGGAATGACTATTGTTTTGACCTTATGATCCTTATCCTCCTAGCAAGTCTAGATATTCATCATCTTTGTCGAGCTTTAATTGATGGACATATGCCTCCAACAAGAACATTATGACTCAATAACTGCCCACAAGGAAAGTTATTGAAATCTACTACAAAAAAGGTAAGCAATAATAAATAACTGGAACTATTTCCTTTGATGTTCGTTTTGAAGCTTTATTTATATCTAGCGTTAGAGATTTTTACAAGTAAAACAACGCCATCTGAAAGAAAAGAGAGAAAAAAAATGGAGTTATCTTGGAGCCATAGATCATCATATTTTCCATTGCTTTTATTTTTCCTAGCATTTCTGGGCTATTATTCTTCATGTGGGGAAGCAACTCAAGATCTAATTGAACGTGTTTGCTCTAAATCAAAAGACCCTTCATTTTGTACCAAAGCCTTAGAGTCAGACCCTCGTTCTCGCACTGCAAATCTTGCCGGCCTCTGCCAAATTTCGATTGATTTATCAACCACCAATGCCAAATCAACCCAAGCCCTGGTCACTTCCCTTGGAAAAAAGGCAACTGATAAGATATCAAAAGAGATATACAATACTTGCTTGGAAAACTATACAAACAGCATTTCCGTTCTTGGTGATTGTACCAAGCGATTGCAAGCTGGTGATTATGCAGGCGTGAATATCAAAGCATCAGCAGCTCAAACTGAAGTTGATACTTGTGATGAATGTTTCAAGGAACGTAAACTACCTGAACCACCAACACTTACAAATGCTTGTCAGAAAGAGCAAAAACTTTGTAATATTATTTTGGTTACAGCAAATATGTTGCAAGGAAATTAATATGTGAAAAAAAGACATATTTCTTAATTAAATTGCCATCTCTCTCTCTCTCTCTCGGAGTTCATGTTTGTCTCTACCATATGTAAGATTGGCAACGAGTTGATACGGATTTCACATTTAGAGAACTGTCTTCCCTTTTTTCCATCCATAGCTTGCTCAATGGTATTAATTTGGGAGGTAAATTCATACCCTGCTCTAATTTCTTTGGGTGCTATTAATGCCGCAGCCCATTTTTCAAGTTCCACAGCCATTTTTACTCAAAATATCAAAATTGCCGCAGCCCATTTTTCAAGTTCCACAGCCATTTTTACTCAAAATATCAAAATTGCCCTTTTCAAGTCCAAGTGCAATTTGGACTTAGGAGGGATAGTTTTGTCATTTCACATCATAAACTTGCTGTGAAATAAAATATGAGCTGTGATATTATCAATTGCCAATATCAAAAGAATCATGGAACATCGTCAACAATTTGACTGATTGAACATATAACCAAAAAAAAAAAACCAAAAAACGACAAATGATAATTCCACAGCCCATATTACTTTGGCCAAATCAGTTTTCCCCTTGCCCTAATTCAGACTTCACTTGCTTCCCACACCCTCTAGACCCGCCCCTATCTTCCTGCTGGAACGTGTTTTTTTTTTCTTTTTATTATAAAAAGGAAGCAATAACATTAAAATTTAAACGTGAAGAAAACATTTTAGAAACGAGAGTGGAAAATTGAGCAATCCAGAACTCAATTGGAAATCGCTACTTTATATAATTTTTTCAATTCCTGTCCCTTCACATTTTTCTATTTGGGAGTAGCCGAAGTTATGCAGTTCAAAGTTGTACTTTCTTCAGCTTCATGCTAAAAAAATATTCAATTCTGTTGGACACTACTCAAACTGTGAAAACAAGTACACAATCACGTCTTTATAAAACGGAATTTGGACTATATGAACTGTGAAAGAACGATTAATGACATTAATTGAGTGATAATAGATGAACCACAATGTACTGATCTTGCACAAATTTTATGTAGGTGGTGGCAGGTGTTCTTTAGTAGTGTTATATCAAAAATTCATATTTTCCTTTGCTTTGGCGTTTTTGGTGGACAATTTGGAGAATTGATAATTAAAGTTTGAAAAATTACTCCTCTGGTAAACAAAAAATACATTTTTGCACGGGACCTAATAGCAAATTAAGCACTTTTCTATGTCGTAATTGTGCTTATACATATATTTCTGGATTTAGTCTCTCATGCAGTCAAATCCCAATGTCAAGTCTTTCTTTATAGCACTTGAAAATGGCCGAAATTTAACTTCCCATTCAGACATTGTGGCTTTTGTGCATGTGAGATATATAGAGTCCATGTTGAATCTTCTTCAACATAATGTATTGAATAAAAGGGCCACTTCCATCAATCCTTAACAATAGCTATCTACATATGACGACCAAATTTTGCTTACCTATTAATCTGGAAACATGGATTAGCAAGTAATCCTCAGTCAGATTACGATAATAAGGCAACTTCAATATCAATTGAGTTTGTGTTAGTTAAAAAAGGTCGTAATTTTGTTGGTTAAACACGCACACCTTGGCCAAAAAGTGATGAACTAGAAAAATAAGAAGATGCTAAGCACCCTCTTTAACCTTATTGATAGGGTGCGTAATTGCTATTAAATTTATAAATATTTTTTTGTAATTTTGGTTAAATATTGTATTATTGAATGAATTCTACTTATATTTGGCAATTACTGCTGATTATAGGAATATGACAAGAAAAAGAGTAAAAAGGGGGTTAATTGAGGAAATTTCCGGCAGAAGACTCATGGCCAATTTAGCGTGGGCATGTCTAAATCCTACTATAGACTTCCTAATTCGAGTCAAATTCTGAACGGACGTTTGGCAGAAAATTCAGAGGTTATTAATTAGGAAACAACTTATAGTTTCTTTTTCCAATTAGGAAAAATACTTTATCTTGATAGCTACACTTTAGAGATAAAATAGGGAGACAAAGGACGGCTAACTTTATTAGTGATTAGTACTTCCGAGGAAAACGATTTGAAGCATCGTATCTTTGGTTTTGTAAAGAAAGACAACTTTTGTTCTTTCTTCTTAGCCACCTGTCTTTTGGGATGTTCCATAGTTTTGCGTTGGGAATTTTTTACGCAATGAGCAACTAATTTTTTATTCTAGTCAAAAAGTAACAATGGATTTGGTTCAATTACAATTGTGAGATCAAATTGTTTTTATCTATTTTTTTTATTCGTTAATATTCGTATGTTTTCTGATTTATTTTCTCATGATTGTTTTGTTGTTTGAATATCAAGGGTCCGATATTTAATTCAATATAACAATCTACTGTCAATTAAGATAATTAAATCCATAATTATTTAATTATCTTAAATTAGTGGTAACTAGCATGATTAACTTTATGTTAGGAAACATATGATCTAATTTAAATAAACCCTGGTAGTGTGTTTATTGATTAGAACTGAGATTTTCTAGTTTTTAATGCAATCAAGAAATTAAATTCTATGACTTACCTAGGGTTATTTTTTAGTTAAAGAAATAGTTAACGGGTGTTACATTAACTATTGATACGGTAAGAAAAACTTGATTGTCATCGCTTGCTTGGTAATTATAACATATTTGTTAATGAATAAATGAAATTATTATTGCATCAATGAGCAGTTGTATGAACTACTTTCAAAGTTTTCTCCTTAGCTAGAACTTACGTATTATTGATTTAATTTTAATTCTCTTCTATTTGGTTGTTTTTATTTATTTTAATTTTAATTTTTTAAAACCCCTAGTTAATTCTCACTTGGAAAGAAACGAATTTGCCCTAATTCCTGCGAAAACGACTCTACTTACCATTATACTCGATCACATATTTTTGTGGGTAGGAATTTATTGTTGTACAGGTTCGACGTTTATCAATTTTTGGCACCGTTGCTGAGGATTAATATTGGTTTATTTGTTTCTTTTTGAATTTATTTTATTTTTTGATATTTTTGCTCGTTTTTGCCTCGTTCTTCTCACATAAGTGAATTAATTTAAGATCCTAAGGTTGACAAGATAGCGCATAGATTGATGAAAGAGATCGGGAAACGCGAGAAGGGACAAAGACTTACTACATCCCCGTGCTTAATTTAGCAGTGAGACTCTTCAAGTGACTATTCAAGCGGTTCTGAGCAAGAAGCAGACACGATGGCTAACAATAGAACCTTAAGGGACTTGGCCGCTTCTGACTTGAATCACTAGCCACTTTGCATCACTTTTCTTGATATTGCTGAAAATGCAACATTTGAATGAAAATCACGTTTAATCCACATCTTACCAAACTTTCATGGTCTGCTAGGTAAGGAGACTCACAAACACCTCCAGGAGTTCCACGTTGTCTGGTTGAGTATGAAACCACATGGTGTTATAGAGGAGTAGATCAGGACGCAGGTATTCCTTTGTTCATTAAAGGGGGTTGCCAAAGATTGGTTGTATTATTTGCCTATAAGGAGTATTGCAACCTAAAATGACGTGAAGAAAAAATTTCTAGAGAAATATTTTTTTACATCTCAAATTGCCAGTCTGCAAAAAGAGATCTGTGGTATTAAGTAGCATCCTGGGGAATCCCTTTATGAATATTAGGAGAGATTCAAAAAGTTGTGTACAAATTGCCCCCAACACCAAATTAGTAAGCAGTTTTTAATCTAGTACTTCTATGAAGGCCTACTCTATAGAGACAGAAGCATTATTGATGCTACAAATGGAGGTGCCTTAGTGAACAATACTCTTCGAGAGGAATTAATTAAAGGAATGGCAGAAAACTCACAACAGTTTGGCACACGAGAGGATGTCCCAACTCGCTGAATGAACGAGATGAACATTGCATCACTTCAAGAACAATTATCTAAGCTAACTTCTATGATTCGACAAATGGCAATAGGAAATGTGCAGCAAGTCAAGGCATGCAGAATTTGCAAGAATACTAATCACCCTACTAATGGATTCCAATGATGCAAGATGATGTGCTGAGTAGATGAACGTGACTGGTAACGTGCCTGTGCCATGTAGACAATATGATCTATACTCCAATACCTATAATTCGGGTTGGATGGATCATCCAAACCTTAGCTATTGAGGGAATAGGCAATTGAATTTTTTCCAAAATAAACAGCATTGGTTCCAGCCATAGTGTCTATCAAGACCTCAACCCTCTTTTTCTAATTCAGGAATATCTCTTGAAGACATAGTAAAGATATTAGTTTCTAGCACCTTGCAGATCTAGTAAAAGACAGAGGCGAGCATACAAAATCTAAAAAATTAGATGAGTCAGATGGCATCTGCAATAAACTACTCGGAGTCTCAAGAGAAAGGAAGACTTTCCTCTCAACCTGAGGTGAATCCGAAAAACATTAGTGCCATAACCCTCAAAAATGGGAAAGAGATTAAAGGGCCAAAACCTATAGTTCCCAAGGATAAGAGCGAGAATCAAATTGAAAAGGAGTTGGAAGAAGAAGGAATAAGCAAGGAACTTCTGAAGTAATTTCTAAACCTTTAATTAAAGTTAATACTAACCCATCACCTTTTCCTAGTAGGTTGAAGAAGCCAAAAAGGCAAGACAAAGAGAAGGAGATTCTAGACGTATTCCAAAAAGTGGCAATCAATATCCCTTTGTTAGACACGATCAAACAAGTACCAAAATATGCTAAATTCTTGAAGAACTTGTGTGTTAACAAAAAGAAATTAAGAGGGGATGAGGAAATTATGGTAGATGAAAATGTCTCAGTGATTTTACAAAGAAAACTACCACCTAAATGCGGGAATCAAAGTATATTTACTATCCCCTGTAAAATAGGACATTCCAGAATTAAGAATGCCATATTAGATTTAAGGGCTTCTATTAATGTGATGTCCAAATATATTTATAATTCCCTAAATCTAGGACCTTTGAAAGAAACAGAGATAATAATTCAATTAACTGATCGCACATTTGCTTATTCGGATGGAGTAATTAAGGATTTTTTAGTTCAACTAGATGGATTAGTTTTTCCTGCTGATTTCTATGTGATTTACATGGATGATGAACACTTTTCAAGTCCATCACCAATTATATTAAGGAGACCATTCTTGAGTACTATCCAAACTAAGATTCATTTTAGTAAGAGTACACTTACGATAGAATTTGGTGAAGAAGTAGTTCATTTCAATATTTTTTATGAAACGAAACATTCTATTAACTTTCATTCTGTGTTTTCTATTTATGCTATTAATCCCTCTGTGTGAGAATTTTGAGTTTACTTATAGGGGTAAGTTGAAAGTTACTGCAAACAAACATCATGGATTGAAAGTAACTTATGATGTGAAAATGGGCCAAAAGTTAAAGAAGATGGTTGCAGTAATGGTGATTTAGATCCTGAAGAAATTCCACCCATTGCAAGAAAGTTTGAATTACAATCGGATTGAGAAATAATGCTTTATGTCTAGCCAAAGACATTAAAGAAAGGCGCTTATTGGGAGGCAACCCAATTTCTTTTAGTTTATTTTGATTTTAGGTTTCTTGTGTTTTATACGTTTGATTTTGATTTTATTGTTTTAGTGGACAGAAGACTACTACCACATAAGGTGTGCTCGTGCCTAACTGGCTAATGAGTTCTAAAGATATGTTTAGAAATTTTAGAAAACTACTGGTTGACAAGACGTATCCACATCTATGAATCGTGCTGAAATTGATGAATTAAAATTTTTTACCAAAAAACTCCTTATATTTTAGGCATACCCTCATCTAAAATGATTGAAAAATTTGGTAGCTACTTTCATCATATTAGATTCACCCCACTTTTTGCTGCTGATCTTTAGCCATATTGTGCTCTTTTCCATTTTTAGGGAAGTTTTGTTGTCCCTTTAACTAATTTTTTGTTTTTTATTTCTTACATTGGGGGCAATATAAGATTTAGGTGTGTGGGGTGGTATATTAGTGAAGTAAGAGTCTTAACCATTATGGCATTTTTGTTGAAGTTTTTATTCAAAATTTTCAAATTTTATCTAATTTTTGCCATTTCTTGTGCAATTTTATAGTTATCCCTAATAAGCGATAGCTAGATTCTCAAAACTTACTGTTGTTAAGATTTTATATGATAATGTGATAAGTATGACATGACAAAGTTTAAGGATGTTGATAAGTGCATATTTTGCGCATTTTAAGTGTGTTTTATTAGTTAGTTTTGGTGTGTTTTATTTAGTTTTATTGCCAATTAACTCAGATTTTAGTGAAAATATACATTTTATGGTTTAAGTGGTAAAAATTGCATTTCTATGGATTTTAATGGTAAAAACTTCATGCTTTTGTAGGTTTAATGATTCAATCATCAAATGGCATGAAATGAGAAGATAATTGGATGATTGTTGATGGTTTGAAGTGATAAAAAGAGGACAAGAAGTGCAAAATAATCAAAGGAAGAAATGCAAAGTTTTCCAGCTTTGATATATTATGGTATTTTGGCTACATCTTGAGCTACACGCATCAAATTGAGGTGATTCTTATATCATTTTGAAGCTAAGAGATAGATCGATATTTGATAAGAAAACATCAAAGTCCAGTTCAATCGTTTTCCTTATCAAAAAGTTGAAATACAGAAGAGCATGTCCATGGTCGAAAGTTGAAATAGAGCTCTGACCAGTCGAGGATATTTTGGCCATTTCTCGATCCACAGAGCTCCAAATTAGATGATTATTGAAGCATTGGAAAGCTAACTCAAAGGGCTATAACTTTCGCCATCATTGAGATAATATCAGTTGACGTGGAGCTAAATTCATAGAGGTGAAAATGCAAGATGACAATATGCAACCTTAAGTCACGTATTCATGAGGTCGCATATTGTGGCCTACTTTCTGCAACTTGCTTTGCCACTTGTTCTATTTTCACACTGTTTTTCAGCTCTACTTCTGAATAGAATTTTGGCTGCACATGCTGAAGATTCTAAAAGGAAAAGAAAAGGAGCTTTATGTCTTGTCTAAAAATCATTAGAAAGGCGGAGAATAGGATATTAGAAGGAATTCTCATCAGATTTTAGCATTAGAGCTTAGTTTTAGTCTTGATTTGTTCTCTGTAGTTAGAACATTGTGAGAACAATAGGAGACTTCATTGTACAACTCATTTTTGTTGAAGAAATAGAAGATCATTGGGAGCTTCTTCACTTTTTGGCTAAACTTTCTTTATCTATCTTTTACTTGTAATTCAATATGTGTTCATACAATGAAGCTACTTTCTTTCTTGTCATTTATCATATGAGTAGCTAAATTTCTAGATCTAGGGAGTAGATGAAACTTATGGCTATTTGATATGAATTGAATATGATTTACATTTGTTACACCTTGTATTAACTTGTCTATTATGCATGCTTATCACTTATTGTTGCTTGATCACCAATAGCTAGTTATTAGTTGTTATTAATCAATGAAAGTTGGTAATAATAATGGAATAACATAAATACAGCTTAAGTAGTATACTCATGAGAATAGAGATACACTTAAGTGGATTAACCTTGCATTTCATGAAGGAAACAAGAGTAGATCTAGTTATTCACCATGAGAATAGGGAAAACTAGTCTAGTTTAGACCATTTCATCATGAGAATGAGATTTGGAATATTAGAAATGAATCTCTAGTTAAACAAAAGTTGTAAAAAGAGGTAAATGTATTTACTTGTATCTTTGATGCCATAAGTGGAATCTACATCCCTAGACTCAAGCATTTAGTGAGTTTTCTCCATTATTACCTTGCAAGTAATCTAGTTAAGACTATTTAGGGAGTAGTAATTACAATTTCTCTTGTTTTAATTGATTATTAGTCCAAATAATAGAGTAAGTAAGGTCTTAGTACTTGTAAATTTGCTCCTTATGGGATTGACCCGACTTATACCCTAAACTACTAGTTGACTTGTATACTTGCAACAAAACAGGTATAATTTGGAAAAAACTTGCACTCATATCTAAAAACTCGTCAAGCTTTTGGAGCCATTGCCGGGGAGCGGCAATATTAGAGCCTAACAAGTTTTATTAATTTTGACATTTTCTATTTTAGTTAGTTAAACTTGGTTATAGTTAAGTTAGAATTTTTATTAATTTTTGTGAAATAATTATTACATAATCTCTTTTATTTTTGTTTGTAATGTATGCACCGGGTTTTACGGGTAGTCGCACCTTTTGATCTGAAAATTGAAAGGACACTACATAGGCAAAGAATACGTACACCACAACAAGAAGAAGGAGAGGTGCAACAATAAATAGAGGGAATCGCTATAGACCTACCTTTGAAAATGAAATGGTAGAAAATGAAACAAATTGGCAAGCTCTAACAAGTAATTAATTCAAATTGGCAGATTTTGTTCTACCGAGAACCCAAGGATCTCAAACAAGTATAGCACAGCTGACGGTAAACACTAACAATTTTGAGATTAAACCATCGTTAATTCAAATGGTTCAATAATCTCAATTTGGAGGTAATGCCATAAAGGATCCAAATGCACACTGAGCCACATTTTTGGAGATATGTGATACCATTAAAATGAATTGAGTTAGTAAGGATGCTATAAGGCTAAGGTTGTTCCTGTTTTCCTTAAGAGATAAAGTTAAAATTTGGCTACACTCTCATGCTCCTAACACTTTCATTACTTGAAATGATTTGTTTAGGG